ATCAATATTCTTGAAGTTACTTCTCTATTTATAGACAGAGACAATGTAATCCCAATCAAAATACCAGGAAACTTTTTTAAAGGATATTTATAAACTCAATATAAAATGTATATGGAAATAAAAACCTACAAAGGCCAAGCCAGTCTTGAGTAAGTACAATAGGGCTTACTAACTCCAGATATCATGACCCATCACAAAGCTACGGAAATTGACACCATGTAGTCTTGGTACAATGATATAATAATAGACTAATGGAATAAACTAGAGAAATAAAAGTGGGCATTTTTCTCTACAGGCAAACACTTTGTTCCTTTAGAACCTATCCCCTGCCCAAGCTCACTCCCCCACTCAAACTAAATTGTAAGCAGAATGTCTTGGGAAAAAGAAGCCACAAAAGAGCCACCAAAAGAAACATGCAAAAGAAAAGTTAGTTATTGGCTCTTTAGTTTCAAGGACCAAAATCATGACATTCAAATTCAGTGTTGGAAAAATATTTGTCTAGCGAATTTTCTCCAAGCCCTACTCCTCCAAACTCACTCAGAGGAGAAAAAAAGAAAAGAAAAATCTTAGCACTAAGTTAGAAAAATGTAAATTATGATTGGAAAGAAAAACAGGAAAGTCGATTACTGTTTAAATTTCCTGACAAGGAGTTCAATATTGAAAAATAGAATGTAAAAGAAACCCCAGGAAAATGTGCATTATCTAAGAATGGAGAGACTCATGCCCTGGCTCCTGTCTGATTAGCGAAAGTGGCTTTGACACTCTGGCAGTGAATACTGAGGTAGAAACATAAGCACTGACTGCTCAGGGACTTTTTAATCACCTCTTAATCACCATGTGGTTGGGGGAGGGAGGTCAAGAAAATGTTTTCTTGGTATAGTTAAGAACATAAAGAAATTATCCTAACAGCTGACAGACCCAAGAGACTCTTTGCAGAGATGCAGTGTGAACCCTTTGTCCGGGTCCTAGAATGCATTGGATGCCAGCATGGAGAGGAATACTAGTGAATTCCAGAAAGGACCCTGTTCATCTCAGTTGATGCTAATGATGCCAACCAAGAATCAGATGCCATGATATCACCTCGTTTGCTGGAGCTTAGGTACAAACCTGGGTAGAAGAGAACTATGGTCTGAATGTTTATGTTCCCACACCCACTAGATTCA